GCCAACAGATGTGGCCTTCATCTGATACAGCCTGAGACTATTTTGGCAGCACAATATTCAAGGTTGTCACGGGACAAGTGCAAGGATACAGACACAGAGGAATTACAGGAAACTGTATGTACATAGGAGTTGCCAAAGAGAGAGTTGGTGACAGTCGCCTCCTGCTGGATGAACTGAGAAATGCCAACAGGAGGGTCTTTATAAGATGAATGTTTTGTAGATGCTTAACCAAATGTGCCACCTTCACATTCAAGCACCGCTAATTTGATATATAAGAGAACTATATCCACCTCATTCAGATTCACACATCTGTATCAATATCAAAGTGTTGGCATAGACCTTATTACAGCAAATCTGTTCGTTTCCATTTCGAAAGGGCACCATTCAACAAGAATGGTTTGGTCTATTTACAAATGAGTCTGTTCTTCATTTACTTTCCAAACTTTTATAAAATATGGTACGTCTGAATGTTACTGAGCATTGTTATTTAAACCATGTTTATTTAAGGAAAGAAAAAAGCTGCAGAGATGGACAGTGGACAGTGTAGTCCGCTCCACATCCATGATAGCTGTGCAAAACATTTAAATACTGTTGTTTAATTAAACACTTTGCAAGAGTATTAACAAACCTGTGTGATTTGTATTGTTTCTTGTTGCATACACTATCATTGAACAGTTTGGGGTCAGTATACAATCTTATTTACTGTTTTAAAAAGTTTCATGCTCACCAAGGCTGCATTTATTTGATAAAAAATACAGTAAAAACAGTACTGTAACTGCAAAAATTACAATTTTAATAACTGATATATATATATATATATATATATATATATTATATATATATATATATATATATATATACACACACTCACACACACTTTTTTTAAAATGTAATTTATTCCTATAAACACATTTTTAGTAGCCATTCCAGTGTTCAATGGTGCTTTTTTGGTGCTCAAGATCATTTCTTATTAACGATGATGAAAACAGTGGTTCTGATTACTGGGCTATTCCGCAGTGGTACGACCCGTATCAAAAGGGACAGTAAAACTTATGTTACAAAAGATTTCAATTTCAGATAAATGTTGTTCGTTTAAAATTTTAACTAATCAAATAATTCTGAAAAAAAAACAATCACTTTTAGGAGTGTCCATAGAAATATACCTGCGTGACTCGTAGTCATAGACATAAACAGAGAGAAGTAGTTCCTCCGGCTACAATGTTCTTCCGCAAGACGCATCCAGTTCTGTTTATTAACCACTAGAGCGCCAAAAGTTACGGACTGCAGCTTTAAAAGAGCACGTGGAATAAAATAAAGTTCTTGGGGTTTGTGACCATAGACATAGGCCTATGATATAAGTCTGTTTGTGACACTTGAATTTTAAAGTCAAGTCGAGTCAGTGCGTTGCATTGTGGGATACTCCAGTCAGTGCTATGTGCTCTGTTGTTGTAGGCCATCCTGTTGTATACATCCGCTATACTGTAGGCCTACATACTGAATATTATTTGCATATTGTGCACAGTACTACTGCAATTTAGTAGCATAATTGAGTGTAGCCTCCAAAGAGGTATGTCTTTGTGTTTAGACATACTGGTCACTGGAGGGCGCTGAAGTATTATATCATTGCAGAGCCATAATATAGGGGGCAAAGGGAGTTTAGCAGCTGCTGTAAAAGGTTGTCATATAAAAATGAATGAGGTGTTAGCATCACAACCTGGGTGGACAACCCGGTCAACAAACTGCTGGAAACTTGTAATTCGGGTCAAAACAATAGTACATCAAATTCTGCTTTAACTCCCCGGAATCACCCAAACATGCTAAAAAGGTTTAACTATATTCATGAATCCTGAGCCATATCTCCCTGATACTTTATGCTAGAAACAAACTGAGCACACCTTTCAAAAGAGTGGTAGAATCGTTCATCTGATGCCTTGATTGTACATGTAGAATGTAAGAGTTAACCCTTGTGCATTGTTCAAATTCACTACCCTTTCGTTATGTTCGTGGCTGAAAACAGCCACTACTTAAAAATATTTATCTGATACATTTTTACAGCAGTTTAATCAACCTCAGTCCTGATCAAAACTACTAAATGTTTTTTTTTTTTTTTTTTATCAGGATTTTAACTCTTTAATTGCCAAATTCATAAATGATGTCACTGATTTGGGAAAAAAAACACACAAAATGACTTATTTTCAATATAAAATGTGCTTGTGGACTGGATTTGTTTTTACCTTTTATCACAGTTTTGGACATGTCAAAGATTAGAAAGAACAATTGGTTTTGATGCATTGCTAGTTTTTGTGCAGCATCAGATTTGAACTTTTTCTCCCTCATTTACTGTTCGTGGCTGTTTTTGCCCCATTGACTTCCATTATAACCACATTTTTTGATTGCAAAGCCATGACACCATATAATCATGCATTTTTAATTGTTGGTGGTTTTCCCTGTTGGGAAGAGGTCAAATTTTTACTTCTTACTGTTGATAACCAGGTGGCACCATTAACCCTTTAAATAGGCCTGTGCAAAAAAAAGCTTAGTTTCTGGCTTTTACATGGAGTTATATGGAGTTTAATAGCATATTACAGTGTGTGTGTGTGTGTGTGAGAGAGAGAGAGAGAGAGAGAGAGAGAGAGAGAGAGAGAGAGAGAGAGAGAGAGAGAGAGAGAGAGAGAGAGAGAGAGAGAGAGAGAGAGAGAGAGAGAGAGAGAGAGAGAGAGAGAGAGAGAGAGAGAGAGAGAGAGAGAGAGAGAGAGAACTCACCTTGATGCGTCTGAGAAAATCAAAATATGCACCTCAGCTCTCAGAACTAGAGTAAACAAAAACAAGTAAGTGTATTTATGCATCTGCTGCCTTTTGATGGTGAGAAGTGCAGACTAAACGAAAACAAAGCAAGTGGATTTAAACACTTGCATGCAAGCCTGCTGGTCTATGGCAAGCCGTTTTAACTTTTATTCATTTCCAGGATATGAATTGTTGATATCAACAATTACATTTTTGATATCAACAATTACATTTTTTGATATCAACAATTACATTTTTGATATCAACAATTCAATTGTTGATATCAACAATTGAATTCTTGATATCAACAATTCAATTCTTGATATCAACAATTGAATTGTTGATATCAAAAATGTAATTCTTGATATCAACAATTGTATTTTCACTAGTGAAATGTCACCATAGACTGCCATTCAAAATCAATTGTTGATATCAAGAATTGATTTCTTACTAGTAGAAATATAATTTTTGATATCAATAATTACATTGTTACTAGTAAAAATGCGAATTCCTGATATCAATAATTAAATTATCACTAGTCTAAATGTCTATTCTTGATATCAACAACTGAATTGCTACTAGTAAAAATTTTCAATTTTGATATCTGAAAATGTATTTCTGATATCAATATTATTTCAGATATCTAAAATGGCTTTCTTACTAGTAACAATCACATTCATGATATCAGAAATTAACATTGTCACTAGTGAAAATTGAATTATTGATATCAAAAATGAACATTGTTACTAGTAGCAATTCAATTGTTGATATCAAGAATAGACATTTCAACTAGTGACAATTTAATTCTTGATATCAAAAATAAAGGTTTTTACTAGTAAGAATTGTATTTCTGATATGTGAAATTGGAATTTCAACTAGTAAGAAATAAATTCTTGATATCAAGAATTGATTTTGAATGGCAGCCTATGGTGACATTTCACTAGTGAAAATACAATTACAGATATCAAGAATTATAGTTTTAACTAGTTGCAATTCAATTGTTGATATCAAGAATGATCATTTTAACTAGTGAAAATGTAAATGTTGATGTCAAGAATTAGCATTGTTACTAGTGAAAATGTAATTCCTGATATCAAAAATTGCCATTGTTACTAGTAGAAATATTATTACTGATATCAATAATTATAATTTTAACTAGTGAAAATTGAATTGTTGATATCAAGTATTCATATCCTGGAAATGAATAAAAGTTAAAACGGCTTGCCATAGCTGGTCATTTGATGGTGAGAAGAGCAGCAAGCAACATGAGAAAGGGCTTGACTTGTAGTGAAGTTTTAGAGATGATTATGCAGCCTGACCCCTCCAGCAAGCTGCAGGATGTATTGTCTTCTCCCTCTGACACCACAGACTCAGGAGAGTCAGATCCTGATTTGGATGTGGCACCTTCATCATCCTCTCTAGCTTCCACTGAAGGCGAGGAGGATTTGGATGATCCTGTTTTGACCCTAATTACAAGTTTCCAGCAGCTTGTTGACTGGGTTATCCACCCAGGTTGTGATGCTCCGACATCATAGATTTCATTTTTATATGTCAACCTTTTACAGCAGCCCTATTGATTGTCTGATTTCCTAAAAAAAACAGGTGTTTTGCCCCCTGGGTAATAACAGATTCATCTTGGCGACTTTTTGGAATGTTCTGAATTCATTGTTTTGTCTGTCAGCAAATTAGCCACATGTTGAAAACTTTAGAAACATGCAGAATATTTTCTTTATTTTATTTTTATTAAGTAATTACTGTTTTATGTCAGTTTATAACACACTCCCAGTTTCATTTACTTTGCATATACCTAATGGGAGAGAACCTATAACTTATGGTTTGAGTCTGCTTCACAGGCCAGAGGTTTGTGGAAGCTTGTTTCCGCCACTGAATAAAAAATACAAAAGGTGATTGTGACTTTTTGTCTTACAATCCTGACCTTTTCTCTCAATTGTGAGTTTATATCTCACAATTCAGTGAAAAAAGGGAGACTTACAAGTAAGAAAGTTGCAATTGCATGAAATAAAGTGAGATAAAAACTCGCATTTGTGTCATAGTTCTTTTAAACTATGACACATACAGACAACTACAGTATTCTAAAAAGGAGAGGTGGAAACTCAGAGAAAAGCTAGAATTTGTGGACCATGAGGCTGCTACTTGAACAAGGGATTCTTTCAGCTGTGGAGAAAAGTGTGAGAATCCCCTGCAAACAAAGAGCTAGAGTGAACGAGCAAAGAAATGAAGGGTATGACATATGACAGGTCCATGTGAAAGGTAAACAAGACCGTTCCAGCCCTGACTTGGGTTCTACTTAAAGGTCTGGGCTCCATGACACCACAGTTGGATCCAGGAACAGCTGCTGCAGGTAATCTTAGGCATGCAGACACACTGATGTAAGAATCATTTCTGTGGTTCCTTGAATGCAATCATTTTTTTGTGTTTTATGTTAGAATCTCTTTGAAGTTTGAAAATAGAAAATTGACTGTAGAGCCTTATATTGAGTGTGTTGCTATGCTACTTTTAGGTGACCATGTTTCGTCTGTATTTCTCATTCTTCCTTTGTGTGGTTTGGCTTGGACTGCTCTCTCTCACAGGTAAGAAAACCTGACACTTAGATTTTGTACATTCAAAAGTGTGGGGTCATTGTGATCCCTTTTTATTTGAATTTTTTTCCTCACCAATACTGCATTGATTTGACAAAAACCCAGTGAAAACAGTACAATCGTGAAATATTCCAATTTAAAATATATATTTTTAATTTTAATATATTTTCAAATATAATTTATTCCTGTGATTGCAAAGCTGAATTTTCTGCATCATTAGTCTTCAGTTTCACACGATCCTTCAGAAATCATTATAATATGGTGATTTGCTGCTCAAGAAACATTTCTGATAACCATCAATGTTAAAGACATCTGCTTGCGGTCTTAGTCTTGCTTTGGAAACCGTGATACCGTTTTCCCCCCAGGATTCTTTGATGAATAAACAGCTCAAAAGGACATTAATTTGAAATGGAATAACAATATAAAAGGCTTTCCTGTCACCTTTGAACAGTTTAATACATTCTTGCTGAAGAATACAGTTATTAATTTCTTTTAAATCCTTTGAATGGTAGTGTATAGTGGAAAAAAGTCTTCATCTGTATTCATCATAAATCTGACGTAAAACATGGCTGCAGTGTGCATTATAATTTTGTAGAGAAATTTTTGTATCACGATATTTAGGCTTATGATAAAATTCTGTAAAATTGCTAAATATTAGATATCCCCAACTAAGCAAGCCAAAAGGCAACAGAGGCAAGGAACTCAAACTCCATCGGAGACAGAAATGGAGAAAAGAGAAAAAAAAGGGGGGTAAAACTTGAGAGAAAACAAGCTCAGTCAGATGAACAAACATGGTGTGGTTTAATTCAGTTATAATGCATTATAGTACTTAAAAGTTATAACCACAATTTTTTTATTACTGTATGTTCACTTGGAGTGTATTTACACAAGAAAGGACTTAATATGGGTTAGGTTTAGGGTTACTGCCTATTATAGTTGTACACAGTGCATGCAGAACAGGACTGTAAAATAAAGAGCTGTAAGTATTATAATGCATTATAACATTATCATACATTTTTCATGAAATTATACATATTATAAGAGATACAACATATTACACAACATATAATAAGGCATGTTTGCATTATGCAAGAAGAATAGCCCTTGTAATGCATTATTAAAAGATATAATAGAAAGTGTTCCTGAAATTTTGTTTTAGCACTCAAGTTGGAGCCTTTATGCTCATTTCAATATTTTTCTCATTTGAATCTGTTGTGAGGTAGACAAGAATGGCAGAATTGCGTAAATGACATGAAAACAGCTAAAGGCTATCAGGTCTGACGTACTTGTTTAGCTGAAATATGCTGGCTTTGTCAAACATGCTGAAAGAACATTGGCAGAACATTGAGATTGAGAACAGACAAAAGCTCAACTGTCCCTTCATACACGGGACTGCTTATGGAATCAGACAGCTCTGCTTCTTTTTACCTGAGAGTGAGTGTGTGCGCGAGTTTACCAGTCGGCTGCTGTGAACATAGAAGCTGTGACAGACAAGGATAACATATGAATGGGACTATGGGAGCTTATAAATAATGTGACCGTCTTGCCATTAAATCAAGACCATGAGAAGCTCTCAAGGTATTTGCACCATATATGCATGAACTGAAATTTAGTCTCAAAGACCTTGTTCGGTCTTTTCTTCAGATTTACTAAAAACGGGGTTGAGCATCATTGGAATGATTAGTCTTAAATTAAGATCAGTGCAGTAATTTAAAAGTCACATTGCTGTCTGCTTTCCTACCAGATCTGTCAGCAGTCAGCCACATTCTATTATTGCTTCACACATACACATTCTTGCCTTAAAAGAGTTGCATCTATACCTTCTTTTTGGTGTGTATATATATATATATATATATATTCAATGTCCCTCTGTTTGTTTGCCTTACAGGGGCAGAGGAAAACCAAGGTGAGTTTTAAATCACCTTATAAACTATTTAATTAGTTACCTGTACTGTAAGGTGCAATGGGTCCTAAAACAATTGGGGGGGAAAGTATGAAAAATGTATATAATTATAATATAAGCCATATAATTTCTGCAAAAAGAAATGTTAAATAGCATGTTTATATAAAAAAATATATTTTATTATGTAAAATAAAGGCAGCATGAGGGTCCGTTTATCACATCAAGGGTCCATATTTCTGTATTTTAATAAATGACCTGTGTAAATATTGGAGTAGAAATGGTAGTAGATGCATGTTACACAAATGAATCCCAGTGTGCATCACTTTGCACATCTTTCACAGCATATTTCATATTTTATGAAGAGCAATTAATTGGTATTCTGAATCATCTTTTTCTGCCAACTAAACAGTGAATGCGGCTTTAAACCCAAGGTCTTTTTATTCCACAGCTACTGAAAATCTAGTGAACTCATTGAATGATTTTTTGTATGTGTGATAATTATAATGGCCTAGATAAATTTGCAGCATTTTGAATATTATTACAAATTAGATCCAATTAACTCAAAATAAGCCTTTTGTCATCGCACATTATAGCCTCGTGATTCAGGACCCATCACAGTGCATACAAACAAAAAGATGTTTAGGAAAGTGCTGTGATCTTTTCTGAAAGTTGAAAGGCCTTTTACCCCGTACACCTAGTAAACCATTGATGTTCTGTATACGGATCTGTTCTTGTATCGCTCTTTATTGACCTCTTTGCCTTCTCTCTTGGCTCACAGCTGAATCAAGGGAAAAAAGGAGTGTTCCTAACTGGGCAATGACTTCTTCAGACTTTTTCGGCTGGATTGAAGAGCTGCGTTCTCATGGTGGTTATGACAAGATCGAGGAATTGGCCAGAACTTTCTGGGCTCACTTTCCTTCTGCCAGCCGCCTGGGTTACGACCCTCCCGCTCCAGAAGAATAACGCCATCTGAGTGTGTGTTATTAGACCATTTGCCCCGTTCATTATGGCACGGCTCTTGGAAAAAGAGACAAACAACCTTTATTATTCAGCTAGACTTGATTTGAGCCAGGGCAAGATACCCTGAGAAAGTTTTTATTTTTATTTTTATGTTGCATAAAACCTGTTATGTAACAGCATCCAAATCAAGTAAAAGTGTTCTGTTCACAAACTGTTTTTTATTTATTTATTATTGTTTGGAAAAAATAGATATTTGTCCTGCTTCTTATTTAAGGTGCCCATATGCTATTTTAAATCCTTGAACAACTGGTACAAGCAATCAAACCACTCCTAACCCAAACATCATCCACACTGTGGTATTTTCCCCTATTATGCTATTTTAAAGTGCCCTAATTTTGTTTTGGAGGTCTCCTACAATAGGTTTACATGCATCCCAGGTCAAAAAACACAATTTCCTCATAATATACAGTGCAACATCACCTCTTTTCTAAATGTCTAAAACGATTCAATAAAGGATCCGGTCCCTATAAACCCTTCCTTACCGAGAGCTTTGTGCTGATTAGTCAGATGACCCAGTCTGTTATGATTGGGTTACCGCTTAACAAAAATGAAAACCCATCTGAATTTCAGCTCCAGAGGATTCTTCAGCACTTGTATAGACAGTGATACAAATAGCGTCAGTTCTCCCGTATCAATTAGATACGGCACAGAAACATACGGCTTCTTCTCAACATGTCAACAACACACACCAAACTCTTCCAGGCGTCAGCTACAACAGTGTTTGAGGGCGGGTCAAAGTACATGGGCAGCCAGTGAAGGCCATTGGCTGTCATTGTGCAAATGTGTTACCAACCTAAGTTCATGCAGGAAGTAAGACTGGGATTACTGATGACTCGTTTCAGGCAGTTCAGACGTGCTTTTTTCTTTTGGGAGACAATAACTCCATTTATCGTGCACTTTAAATTTTTTTTACATTCACAAACATCTATATATACACACACTGTATATATATACAGCTATATTACACACAACACAATAGGCAATGTGCAAAAAAAGCATAATAGGGGCACTTTAAAATACATGTACACTGCATTTGTTCTTGCTATAAATTAAATGTAAATGCATACACACAGTAATAGCAGCAGGGCAAATAGCCATTCTTCAGCAGCACAACAGAGCAGGCAGGTGTTCTGTTATCAGGTGGGAATGCAGTCCAGGTGTTAAGAGATGACCCTCTGAACAAGGGTCATCTCCCTCAGGACAAGTACATGCAGGAACATGTTCTTATGTGTTTGACTGCAGCAGAATAACTCCAGTATACTATGATGGATACTATCAGTATAAGTGTAAGCGTTTACACAAATACAAGGACATATAAACTCATATCATGAAAAACACATTTTTCAGTGATTTTCTTTAAGTTTAATTTTCTTTTAGAAAATATACTTAATTTCAAAAGATTTGACAGTAAGGTTCAAAAGTTGGCAGCATTTAGTGCATTCAGCTGTTAGTGCATTAGGTATGATTAATAAACAATAAACAACATTTTATTACAGCATTTGGATCTAGATGAATGTTTTACAGCATTTATTAATCTAATGTTAAATTTTTGAATTTATATTTTAAACATTGTTATTTTACATTTTAAATGTAAAAAAAAAAATGCACGTATTAGTATATCAATTAAAATTAAATGTTTTGTTCCTTGTTATTTCGTTATTGTTAGACTTATTGTAAAGTGTTACCAGCTCTAATGCTTCCAAGTGGGGCACATGTCTCTTCTGCTCACCAAGACTGTATTTATTTTTCAGGGGGACCCCCCTGAAAAAAAAAAAAAAAAAGGTTGTTGATTGTGGCCTGTGGAATGTTGGTCCACTCCTCTTCAATGGCTGTGCGAAGTTGCTGGATATTAGCAGGGCCTGGAACACGCTGTCGTATACGCTGATCCAGAGCATCCCAAACACATTAATTCATGCTGACTGCAGGAATGTCCGCCAGAGCTGTTGCCTGTGAATTGAAAGTTCATTTCTCTACCATAAGCCGTCTCCAAAGGAGTTTCAGAGAATTTGGCAGTACATCCAACCGGCCTCACAACCGCAGACCACGTGTAGCCCAGGACCTCCACATCCAGCATCTTCACCTCCAAGATCATCTGAGACCAGCCACCCGGACAGCTGCTGCAACAATCGGTTTGCATAACCAAAGAATTTCTGCACAAACTGTCAGAAACCGTCTCAGGGAAAATGCATGCTCGTCGTCCTCATCGGGGTCTCGACCTGACTGCATTTTGTCGTCTTAACCGACTTGAGTGGGCAAATGCACACATTCGATGGCGTCTGGCACTTTGGAGTGTTGTTCTCTTCATGTATGAATCCCGGTTTTCACTGTACAGGGTAGATGGCAGACAGCGTGTATGGCGTAGTGTGGGTGAGCGAGCGGTTTGCTGATGTCAACGTTGTGGATCGAGTGGCCCATGGTGGCGGTGGGGTTATGGTATGGGGAGGCGTATGTTATGGACAACGAACACAGGTGCATTTTATTGATGGCATTTTGAATGCACAGAGATCCCCCCCGGACACCCACGGACCCCCCCAATTCAGTAAAACTGCACATTTTAGAGTGGGCTTTTATTGTGGCCAGCCTAAGGCACACCTGTGCAATAATTATGCTGTCTAATCAGCATCTTGATATGCTACACCTGTGAGGTGGATGGACTATCTTGGCAAAGGAGGAGTGCTTACTAATGCCTGGCTCACACTACAGGAGTTTTAGGTCGATTTATGCCCGATTTTCCCCTCAAGAGAATCGGAGAAAAAATCTTGTTGATTACCTTGATCGGTTCCGATGTTCGGCGCAGATTATCTGGTAATGTGAGGCTTTCACAGATCGAATCTTGCACCTCCCGATCTGCTCTCACACAAATCGGGCTCGCCCCGATCATATTAAACATGTTTGATATTTATCGGGATGAGCAAGATTGTGATTACTGGTACGTCAGTACTGTCTAGCCAATAAGAAACAAGTAGGGCTGTCATGTTGAAGGAATTTCCATTGTTGTAATTTTGAGCGCGATATGCGGTATTATCTTCATTTATTTATTTATTGCTAAATAAATAAGTGTTACGCTGTGGTCAGCAGGCACGAAGACGAGTAGGTCTACATGTTCAGTAATGAAACCGAAACTAAAAAGCGCATTGAAACGAAGTGGAGTAAACAGAAGATACAATGTCAAAATAAGGGTCCACATAATATAATAACAGACAATAAGCTTTTTAGGCCATTGTTATATAACAGTTAGTTTCGATCCTCGAATCTCACTTTACTAAAGGCTTTCTGCTGATATTTTACCACTCGGCATTGCTCGTCACTGCATGTTATAGACAGGCTGTCGCTCAGTCCAGTTACATTGTTACGCCACTAGGCGGCAAGGGACTGTCTTTGAGTGAGTCATTAAAGGGTCACTTCACCCATTTCAACATTAATCTTTATTGAAAGTGGGTCATATATGTAGTCGAAATGTAAAAGAAATTTTGAATTTGGTGCCCTCTTGACCGAGAAAAGACAGAAAATAACTTTTGGGCGCATTTGTATGTAAGACAACAACTCCCACAATGCACCACATTGCACAGCTCCGCAAGCCACTCCCACTAATCCAGAACAGCGCAAACATCAGAGAAAAGAAATCACTCTTCCGTCTACAAGGCTAGCTGCCAAAAGAGTTTGAAATTCATTTGACACAAAATGTCTAGTTAGTTGGCTGTGGCGAGCAGGACGAGGGCGAGGGACGTAAGAGGACGGCGCGAGGCCGGTGGCGTGAGTGATAATGAATGACACCTGTGAGACGCAGCGGTCTCATCTCACGGAGGAGCGGAGGCATAAAAGGAACAGGCCTGGTTTTATGTTATGTTTGTCGTAACTTCCTATCTCCACAGCGCTTGTTAGCTTAGCTTATAAATAAGATGGCTGATATTGATTTCAGTATTTGCAAGTGAAGTCCCACCCACTGATCTGTGATAGCTCTGTTAGCGCATTAGATCCAACCCCCTATGGGTCGGGTTTGAAAGGGTGGGAACTAGTGCTGTAGTCTTTACAGAAATCCCCCCCTCTTAAACTTCCTCCTACAATGACGTAAAATGACGATTTTTGCGTCATTGTAGGAGGAAGTGAAAAAGGTAAATAGTGGATTTCTCTCGTCTCAGGGGAAAATGAGAGAGTGTTGCACGACCATTCAATAGTATGACTGGGTTTCTAACATTGGAAAGCTTAATGCAAATGGGTGAAGTGTCTCTTTAAACTGTTCATTCAAGGAAATGTAAAAAAATGCAGATTCATTCAAAGATAGATGTAATGAAACAAGCTGTTAATTATTTTAATATTTAGTTTTAACTTTGAGCTCCACTTTACAAGGCTCAGCTGAGCAGCAATGTGGCGCATGGGCAATGCAAAGCTGATGCTTCACTTCATAGAGATCAATGGCATTTTTTCATTGTATTGACCAGAGCTGACGCAATTAGAAATAGCCTAACCTTAAATGTTAAAAATATGATTAAAAAAAAAAAAATCTCTTTCCTTTCACGGCAACCTTTTCACGAATATGACTTGATTTGAGGGACAGATATTTTGTTTACATCCACTTCTCTGCTTCCGATCTGCTGCGTGAGATCACGTGAGCCGCTTCCTCTGGCACGATAATCTTAATAACATTGTGTAGTGTGTGATGCGCCGCGATTTTCAAATCTTGTAGTGTGAGCATGTTTAAGATTTGAGGGAAGAAAATCTGCAAAGATTCTCCATAAGTGTGAGCTGCAACCAGATTTCAAAATCGGTTAGGATTTTAAAACTCCTGTAGTGTGAACAAGGCTTAACACAGATTTGTGAACAATATTTGAGAGAAATAGGCCTTTTGTGTAGGCCTACATAGAAAGAAGTCTTAGATCTTTGAGTTCAGCTCATGAAAAATGGGGGCAAAAACAAAAGTGTTGCGTTAATAATTTTTTTCAGTGTAGT